TAGTCTCAGGACACTGCTCTCTGTTGCTCATCCCCTCCCACTGGCCTGGCAATGGCCACAGCAGAGGGGCCGAAAGCAGGGCGCGGGGCCAGGCTGATGCAAACTGGTGCTGCTGGAGCATCACTTGCCGTAGGCTGGGAGAGCAACCAGCTTGGAGCTGCTGAGCAGGGCACAGCCACAGCTGCTGCAGCCACAGGTTATTAGGGCATCCTGACCCCCGTACGCCACTGGGAGGACCCTGGTTGAACCCTGGAGCAGAGCGGCTCCCACTAATTAGTCACTAATTGCTTCAGAGAGGAAATGAGCAAAACCCAACCTGTGCGTGCCTGTAGCAGTGACCTGTGGGCCCCAGGACCTGGCCAGGCTGCACGTCACCGAGAAATGGTTGAGGGTTCATCTGTCAAAGCAAAGCTGGAGAACCAGCCCAGCCCATCTCCCTGCAGCCTCCCCAGCCCCTTCGTGCCCCCACGGGACTCCCAGGAGCTCCCAGCCTCTGGCAGCAGCCCAGCAAGGCTGAGCTGCACCGCAGTGAGTGGCGAACCCGGCTCATTTAATCTATTCAATTGGATTCAATTTCCAGCCACATGATTCAATTAGCCCTGGAGGGACAGCACAGGAGAGCAGAGGCTGCGGAGCATGCATGGCCCGGCCTGCACTCCAGCAGCCGCCGAGCTGGGAAGGGGGAGCTGCGTTTTTTCCGCAGCGGCTGCTCCCACAGGGGCCAGGACCCTACGCTTGTCCTGGCCTTCTGGGATGCACTGAGATGATGGAGGCTGCAGGGGAGCCCCGTTCTGGCAAGGAGAGGCAGGGGCTTATCTGTGTGCAAGCTGCTAGTCCTGAGTAATATGTGGGCAGCTGTAGGGCAGAAGCTGGGGGGAGCCCTGTCCTGAGCATCTCCCTTTGCAGTCAGTCACAACCCTGAGAGGTGACAGCCACTCTGGGTCAGATCTGAGGCCTGCACCCCTGAGCACCTGCCAAGGGTGGCCTAAAGATGCTTTAAAAAGACAACAGGAGCAAGGCAAGCATCCGGCGATGCTCCCCCAAGGGTGCTGCCTGTCCCATTTATTTGGGGTCACCCCTCTGCCTGATCAGTGTCCCCCTGAGCTCACCCACACCATGCTGCAGTGGGGAGAACCAGGGCTCTGACCAGCACGAAGGACTCCCAGCAGCCCCAGGGAAGGCCAGGTCCCATAGGCCTTGCATCAACCCTACTCCAGCCTCCTGGCCCAGACTTTCATTGATGATTTACTTTTGTGTCTGCCCTCCCGCTGAAAGCATCAGCAAAGGCATTAACTAGTTTCCACTAGGGGAAAAGCCCATCTTACCCTGGCCCCCTTGGATGTCTGCAGCTCCCAAAGCTGGGCTTTACCCCTTTCCTTTCAGGTTACTGCAACAGCTCATCTGCCAAAAAAACCCCATCACCTCCACGGGAACAAACCTTTGTCTAGTATGACCCTGCTCAGCGAAGCCAGGATGCGGCCCCTCCTCATCCCAACAAGTACCAAACAAGAAAACAGAGCCCAGAAAACAGAGATGAAAATAAATATCCATGAGGCATCCGTGCTGACACCGAGATGGAGAGCTGCTTGCGAGTGCCAAGAGCCAGCTGTAAATCTTACCACAGACTGCTGGCCGCACACCAGCCCCGACACACACAATGACAGCCATCTCCCTCTGCCCGCCGTGCGCCAGGCCAGGAGCTGGGAAGGACTCTGGCTCCACCTGCCCTCCTGGCCCTTGGCTCCATCCCAGGAGGGAAGCGTGGGGAGGCAGATGGTGCACACTGGGGCTGATCCCCTGTGCAAGTGCTGTCTAGGAGATAGCTCTCCCCGTGACAGCAGGCTTCTCCTCCTGACACACACCATGCAACAGCCTGGCAGGACCCCAGACCAGGGGAAGAGTGTGCAATTCTTGAGGCAGGGAGAGAAAAGCAGCCCAAGGGGCATCAGGACAGGCTCACATGGAGGGCAGCTCAAGCCTACAGAGATACAGCCCCCACGCCGCGTGGGTGGGATCACAGCAGGTAATGGCTGTGACAAGGAAGAGGACGAAGAGGACGAAGAGGCTTGCAAACCAACAGAGCAGGTGGGCAAAGGCACACCCTGCTCTCCGGCTGCTGTACATGAGGCTCAGGGGTCTGGTACTACCTGCTCCTGACACTCTCAAAGAGCAGCCAAATCACCACATGGAGCTGACACCACCCACCAGCCTCCCATCGGTACCCTGTGCCCAAGGCACAGTGCCTCCTCTGACAGCCCAGGCAGGGGAGTCTCAGCTCCTGAGGAGCTGCCTCTCTCTCAAGTCTGCATGAAAAATGGGACCTGTAAGAGCTAGGGAAGAAGAGACGATACCAAAAATCACAATGGCACTTACAAATCAATTTTTAATAACTCCCTCCAAAGTTTAGCTCAAACTCAATTTTTCTCCTCCAGAATTTGGTCATTATTTTGTAAAATATTTGTCTCCCTGCAGCAGCTGCCTAATTTAAAGGCAGCAATCTGATTTCTCCCCACACTCCCCAAGTCTCAAAAACAGCTCTTCCAATAATAGACTGGGTTATGAATTAGACATAACAAAATACACTCAACTGCTCAGATCAGATACAGTAAAGTTTGGGGCCATCAGCCACATCCTGAGGCTGAATGTTAGAGTTAAATGACTTTCTGCTCAGTTCAAGCTGGCCTTAAAACACAAGTAGTGGTACGGTGTTTAACGTAACAGGCAAATCTGCAGCAGAATCTGTGAGCAGGAGTTTGCTGACTCCAGCAGCAGAGAGAGCATCATACCGTGCACAGGTAGCTCTCTGCATCCCTCACGCTCAGCCTTGCTTGTGTTTTCCTTACTGGCAGCCTCAGGGGCACGCAAGAGGCGTAGGGCTGCTCACTACTGGCTGGTACCTGCAGCCTGGACCAAGGAGAAGGCACCACTGAGCAGCACCACAACTTCCCTCTGCACAGGTAGGAAGAGCCCAAGGGCAAGCGACTCCCCTGCTGCAGCCAGCATGCCACCAGTGACAGGGCCACCCCCGTAACTACCCCACTCTCCCCTCTGTGAAGGACAAACACTGCACCCCCTGGACACGCAGGGCTCTGCTCTTTATTGAGCTCTAGGTTTGTATGTACATCCACTTACAGTGCTTGGTTCTGCGACAGCGTGACAAGAGGACGCGTGTCACAGCCTTCCCCAGCTCGGCCTTGGATGAGGGCTGACCTCAGGAGCTGCTCCCAGTCACAGCCTGGGCTTCTCGGTTCATCCCAGCAAGGGAGCACCATGGGGGAGATAAGACCTTTGATAGCTGAGCCCAGGGTGAAAAGCTGAAAATCACGGAGGTGCCAAGGCAGAGGCAGACTCATCCCCAACTCTCTCACCTATCTGTCTAGTCTCAGTCCAAGTGAGATCAGAGAAAAGGAGGCATGTGGACAGCTGTGTGACTCAATGCTCTGACAGCAGCGATGCTGCGGCTGCACCTCAAGGAAGCAACTCCAGCCCCCTTTGGGAAGAAACTCCCCCCCTCAGAGGCGAGATGGTCTAGCAAGAGCTCCCCACACATGCAGACAAGTGCCATGCGCCAAACCATTTTTACCCATTTTTCACTGGAGAAATGGCCTCCTTCTACATGCCCTGGCCTGTTAGAGTGATTTTACAGAGCCTGCTTGCTCTCCCAAGCACTGTCCCTCTGACACGTACACATTTCCATACACTTGCATGGCAGGAAAGCAAGTAAGTGTCTGGCTTAGCTGATAAAAGCCAGAAAATTCCATGCTGAGGCAAAGTATCTTCAGTTGGGAGAAGCCGGTGCTCCCAAGGAAAATACACAGTCTTCATTGGGTGCTGTGACCAGTGGGTGGCCAAGGACACAGCTTTCAGTTTCCCATGCTTATGGCAGGTAATGATGAAACATTAACACAATTAACACACACTAGCATGAATAAGCCTTACCTAAAAATGGCTGAGAATGAACATGACATTCACATCACTCACACTAACCTACAAGGCTAAGAGCGGGACTAGGCACTTTTTTTTAAAAAACTATTTTCTAGAGAAAAAAAAAGTGGATCTGGGATGTAAATAATTTCTCTACTTCAGTCCACCGAGTCAGGCCAGAGATCCTAACATCACTGCTGGGAGCTGAAAATGCACGAGCAGGGAACAGGTGTTTATGCTGCATATTCCTGAGTTGGCAGCCTGACACAGCACTCGGAACAGGCTCCACCGGACCCGGGCACCTCTGAAACACTGGCTCTGGAGCAGAAAGGTCTGCCTGTGCCCCAGAGCATCATCCCAGAGCTCTTCCTTAGGAAGTTCTCAGTAGACTGTTGCTGCAAGTCGCTTGGTGAAGATGGGAGGGCAAGTGAGAAAGTGAAGTAACTACTTTTCCAGCTGCATTTTAATTGTGTGCTACACACAAGGGAAAAACCAGGGACCTCTCAGTTCATGAAGGTCACCAGGCACTTGCAAACATGTGCAAGGTGGACGTTCCTGTGAGGGAGAGGAGGATTGTCGCAATGCAGTCTCTGATGGGCAATAAGGGGAGTGGGGGAGGGAGTCAGCCTATCCTCTGCCCCATGAAAGTCCAATATCTAAAAATGTCCCTCAACCTTAGAACAGCAGAGATGAGCTGGTCTCCTGGAAGCAACAGTGACCCCAAGCAGAGCTGGTCTCCAGTTACGAAGTGCTCTGTTTGATGACCCATATTCTTGCATACTGGGTCAGACTGGACACTGTAAGCCAACAGCCTTGGAGGCAAAATTTCTCCTTCTCCAGTAATCCAATGGCTTGGTTCAAGTGACACCTTCTTACACCAGGAGCCAGCAGTGAGCAGGGCCTGCTCCTTGGGGAAACTGTTTTATACCCCAAAGCCATTCCCAATGCGATGGCAGTGGATTTGACCTACGTTGCGGGAGGGCAGGTTGATCCAGGCTGACAGAAAAGAACAGCCCTCACCTGGGATCAGAGAGCTTTCCCTGTAGAGCAGGCGAGTGATCTCAACCCAGAACTGTCTCGCACAGCTGGACTGGTTTTATTATTTTGGTTGTGAGCTCTCCCCAGCGCTGCTACAAAGGTTTCCAGTGCATCTTCCCTGAGGCTGCGGAGGGAATCTCCCATTGCTACGTCACAGGAATGGCTGCCCACCCCCATGGCACCTTACAAAATTGTTTCCTCCTCCTCCTCAACATGCCGATCACCTCTCCTCAGCCCCAGTCTTGTTGAAACACATGCCTTTGGGATCAAACACACAGCAGCAAGCCTCTCCCCTAGAAGAAATGCAGTCCCTTCTGCAGGTGGAAGGCAAGGGGCGACCGGTTGCAGATCTGTAGTGTCCCTGCCCAGACAGGTCCGTCTCTGGTCAGCCCTGCACAGCGGCTGCGTCCCTGCTTCAAGAGATCGTAGAGAATTCCTTCAGCAGCAGTTCCTGGCTCAGCGTGTTGAAAGCAAGGTTCTTCCTCACATTGATGCTGATGGACCGAACCTGATAGAGGCAAAACAAGATGTTTTAGCCAACAGACTCTTCCTGGCTCCCCGTGACCGCGGCGACTTTGACACTGCTGACCTCCAGGTTCAGCATGAAACTGTTTTGCATGCTGTTATAGCCCCAGAGAACTTGCTGCAGCCAGCTCTCACTGACACTCCAGCTTATCAAGAAATCCCTGAGGATTAGCTGCTTCCTGGAATAACAGGAATGTCTATAGTGACATCCCAGCAAGGAAAGTAAATTCCAAAAGAGACAGGGATGGGGGAGGATGCTCTATTTGGATGCATGAGCTATGATGTGTTTCCTGTTCTGGGGCAAAGTGATGGGGAAAGTGAGCACTTCCAGGTTGCAGCTGGAAGAGCATTTTCTACCAGTGCCCTCCGGAGTGCCAGCCAGCATTCTCCTGGATGAACGTAGTGCCATGGCCTCTGTCCTGCTCCAGAACCTGCAGAGCCAAAGATACGGAGTCAAGGAAAGGACAGAGGCCATGCTCCTGGGCTGTAAACACAAATTATCACCCAAGCTGGCAGAAAACCATGGGTTCAGAGCCAGCTGTGTGTACTCTGTGCTGAGTGCCTTACACCTGAAGCTGGCTCACTAGCTGCCTCTGAAGAAGAGAACATCTTGATGATACCCAGACTTCTGGTCACCTGCAGAGTCTGCGAAGAGCTGGGAAGTGCAGCAGCTTCCCTTCCCCCTTCATGCCTGCAGACTCACTGGCCAAACACGCAGGCCGCAGACTGGGCTCAGTCTCAGCTGCACTCGGCAACGAGAAAACAAAGTCAAACATCATCTGTGTCAGCGACTGTGCAGCAGTGACAGAAAGTAAAACTGACACAAGCTCATCCAAACAACAGGATTACAGTTCCCAGAGACTCAGAACCTGTGATATAAGGTTGTTGCTGACCTGGTTAGTGTTTTGTGTTTTTTAAAAGCACTGGGGAATGAATTATATAGAAGCAGAACGAGGAATCCAACACTGGGGGCTGGAAGAGCAAGTTAGCAGTGTTCATACTGCTGAGGGTCCCATTGCTGCCCTGGTGAGGAAAAAAAAGAGGGGAAGGGCAGAAAGCTCCCAAAAAGGCAGAATGTGTAAGAGTGGGAAGCAAATCAAAACATGGAAGGTTAACAGGGAAAGCTGTGAAGTGAACCCCAGTGAGCCCCACTGCACAGACCCTAACAACCCGAGCAAGCTAGCAAAGATGTCTACACTTAAAAGACAGAATATTTAAGTTTTATGGTGACTGCAGAAACTACAAACTCTCCTTCATCAGGATGCTTGGCAGAGACCCTATGCGTCTTCATTCCCTTGGAGCACCCCCTCACCTCTCTTCTCTGGGTGTCTTTTGACTTATTCCATACTGAAATAGTTTGGGATCATGTCTTGTAAGATAACCACAGGTTATAGCCTATGTTAAACGCCACTGCAAGTGGTCTCCAGAACACTAGTTTGCACTGGGCTGTCCCCCTGCCAGGAGACAGGAGCCCCACTGACAGGATTTGGTCTCAGTCCTAGCAAGCGCTCCCCACCTCAGCGATCCTGTCAGTTCTGACAGGAGGGAAACAACATGGCTTAACGGATGCAGCCCTCTGCCCTGGGGAATGTGAATGCCTGCAGAAAAGGGGCGGATGCTGTACGTAGTGTAAGCCAGCATCCTTATTCTGACTAGAAACATTTCTATGGGTCCCAGCAACAGAAAGACCAAGCAGAAATGAGCTCCTGGCCTCAGAACTGCTGCCAGGGGCCAGGCACCAGCAGGAGAAGATGCTCAACTTGTATACACGTCAAGGTCTCCAAAAAGGATGCACTAGCAGTCTCTACAAGCCCAGAAAGGGAGGCTGGAGTGGCACATGATGAGAACACAGGGCTTAGCAGAAATTGTAGCTATGGGGTAGAGCACAAGAAATTAAGCCTGGTTAGTTTGCAAAGAAAAGGTTTAGGAGGAATAGAGCAAACACTCTCCAATATGTAAAATGAGGTCAGAAAGAGAACAGTGAGTAATATTTCTCTGGCTCCCCAGGGATGGGGCAAGAAACACTCAGCTTAATTTAAGACAAAGAAGATTTACACTGGAAAAGAGGAGATACTTTTAAACCTATGGGTTGTGAAGCAGTGGTGTAGATCACCTGGGGCCAGTGTGGAGCTGTTTTCACTTAAAGACAGCTTCAGGTTTCAAGAGGAGCTTAGACACAAATTTTGGTCAAGAGCGGTCTAGATGGACTTAGATCTACTTTAACACAAGTTGGGGAGATGACACTGACGTTTCTACAGATCTCTGCCCAGCATTTCTTCTGCTGTGAGAAAGCAGGCAGCTCTGAGCCAACCAACTTAAAAGGTGAGAATAGCTCAAATTAGAGTTAAATCAAGTTATCTCCAGCACCAGGGCTCAGCACAGGGAGCCAGAGCTCATTTCCCTTTTGGGTTTGGAAGACCAGACAGTGACATGGGAAGGTGTCAGCCTGTAACAAGGATAAACTTCAGAAGCTTCCTGCAGTCTGGCTGAGCTGCTCCATCCACGAGGCTACACCCCAGGACTCCTCCTAGCTTGTGCTAGCCCAGGCCTGGCTGCCAGCCTGGAAGCTACCAGAACTCTCTAGAGTGGCTTATACAAGGGGCCAAAACCAGCCTCAGAAAGTAAGCTTAGAGCTTTAACATTCATTCTGCAAGGAAGCAGACCACATGTCCTCTCTCGCTTCTGTATGGAGCATGCTGGAGCACACTAGGGCCAGAAGAGCTTTTAAAATTGTTTTCTCCCTATTAGCAGCCTGGATCACATTTAACCCACAGATTTTGAAGAAATGGGAAATGCATGAAATGCTGACATCACCTGGAGAACAATAAGCAAATGAAAGAATGCATGAAGCAGTGGCATTAACCATGTGAGGAAAACATTATTCAGTTCTAGTTTTGTGTCATTATAGCTGGACGTGTGCAACACTGTACAGATACTCTTATTTCGCAGCAAGTCCCATCAATTAAACCTGTTTCCAATCAACAAGCAGCTCTTAAGAAATTTGTACAATGGGAGGAAGGTTTACACTGACTACTACATCTAATTAGAAGTCAAATTACTGTAATTTCCCCTGCAGAAATCAATCCCTAATCAGACTATTTTGAGACTCTGCTGAAACCTATCCAACTGCAAAGACAGTGAATGTTTTGGAAAGATGCTGAATCTCTTTCCACACGTTCCTCCAGCTGCAATGCAAGGGTCCAAAAGCTCACATCCAAACCATTCATTCTGTCAAAGCAGCACAGACCTCAAATGACATCCCTGAGGGTTCAAAGGAAAAGAAATAAAAAGTGTTAGAAAACTTCCTAACTTCCCTCCTTTAGCCCCTCAAAGGCAGCACAACAGGTCAGAAAACCCAGTTGATAAAACACTCCGCATATCACCTTCCACCACAATGTGGCTGCAGTATCGCAGGCCTCTGAAAGCTTCTTTGAAAAGGGAATGGGAGAAGAAAGCAGATTTTTCTTTGGGATTAGCAAGAAAGAGCAGCACTGAGGCAAAGCCAGAGAAGTGAAGCAGTACATTAGCAAAGCATGTCAAAGGAGTGAGAACAAGATTTCTAAGCATAAAGGAGCCAAGAGAATGGCTTGGGGAAGTTTCTGCTCACCCACTTAATGGGAGCACAGAGAGATGAAAAGGCAGCCAAAAAGGAAAATGGCTCCTGCATGTCATTCCCCACCAAGAAGGATTTGCTTTAATGCAATCACACAGATAGAGATAAGAAAACCAGGCACAATCTGGAAAGAATTATTTGCAAACAGATCCTATTCAGGAAGACCTGATGGGACCAGCATGAGTTTGGAAACCATACTGGAAACCTGTAGTTCACCACCAGCCCTGCTCCTTTGGCAGAGCCCACGAAGAAAATTGCAGCAACTTCACTCTGCCCTCTCCATGAAATCCTGCAAACCTCAGCAGTTAAACGCAATGCATTGGGTGGGGGGATATTATCCAACATCAGACCAGCAACAGAAGCCAAAGTAAAGACTCAGAAGCCTCGCAAAAAGGAAGCCAAGTACCTGGTTTGAAGAGGATATGGGGAGGACAGGGCAGACTAGAGCCTTTTTGATGAGTTGTTTGGACAATTAATAAAGCCATCAGTTACTGTGCACCTAAAGGAAAAAACAGTGTGGAGGATGGGAGGCCAGCTGGGTTTGCTGAAGACAAATCATAACATATCAGGTTGATTTCCCGCTGTGTTGAGGGAATGGCTTAATGGAATGCAGGGGATTTTCTGTAGCTGTGAGTAAAGAACATTTAATAGGGTCCCAATTCTCAGGGCATCTAGAGGAATGTGGATTAAACAGATTCACAACTGGGTCAAATCAGCACATTTAGACAGTAATTATTCAGGCTTTCATACGCTCTTGAGGAGAGGGTCCCAGGGGTACCTGGACAGGCAATTTTCAGAAGGGAGTTGAGGAGGGACTGGTTATGCTAAACAGATTCTTAAATGATACAAAATTGGGATTTGGGGGAGGGGGGGAAATTGGGCTAGGAAAAAAGTAATTTTAGCTGGAGTGTTTTGTAGCTGTGATGATCTTAGGACTGAGAATGTCATTTTAATCAATTGGCATGATCAGCCTGAGCTTCTGCCAGGCCAAGTGGGAATTGGGGCATGCAGGAAGCAGAGCAGTCACGTGGCCAAGAGTCTGGGGAAGGAGATGCTGGCCGAGGAGGGCAGGAGCCCTTGGGACAGAACAGATGACAGGAGAAACATGAATGCATCTTATTTCCAGGGTACAGTAAGAGGAGAAGCCCATGTCACAGGAAGGCTACGGCCAAATTTCTTTGCATATATTCCAGATATGGTATCAAACAACAGGCCAGAGAGACAACAACAGGCACAAAAGAGCACAGAAAAATGGCATGAAAGTGATTGCAAGTGTTTTTGCCCGTATCCTACCCAATGGCAGTGCTGAAATGACCGAAAAAACATTAAAAAGCATTCTGTAGAAGGAAGCAAAACCAATTCAGGCGTGCTTGCTCTGGAGCAGAGTAGACAGAGGGAGGCACAACACTCCCAAACTCATGCAGACTCGTGACAGAGTGGGCAGGCATCAATTACTCATCAGTCAGCACGGACAGAGCTGGGAGAGAGAATCAGCTCTCAAACTGGTGGAGAAAGCAGCCAGAGCTAGAGATCTCTCCCTTCACTGAAGCTGTAATGATTCAGAAGTGAGGAAAAACAGGCTCCCCTCAAATACCAGCCACTACAAAAACATTGCCTTCCTAGTGATGTGGCCATCGGACAAGAACATGTTGCATCAGGGCTCTCTGGAGGAGGGTGAGCAAGCTGGCTTGCTGAAGAATATAACTACCAACCTGAATTATTTGGACTCAGTTTTGTCTTTGCTGTATTATTTTTGTGGGGCTTCCTACCATTAGTCTTCTCCTCTGGCAGAAGGAGTAATGTCTAGGGAATGCCTTTGCTTTCTTTACGTGGAAACCCTATTTTGTGAGTGATGGAGGAAAGCAACGAGCAGGCACATGTTTCACCAGCATCACACATTCTGCTCAGTCCCAAACTTTGTGGTCCACTTAACAGCAGCAAAAAGGCTAAGTTGCTCTGTGTGATAAACCCAAGGTGGGAGCAGTCAGCTTCTCCACTGTGTAAATTTACCAGCACAAAGCACAGTGGACCCCAGAAGGGACAGAGACTGACAGACTGGTTCCTGGCCTGTGCAGTCTGGTGGTTCCTCCCCAGCCATGTATTGCAGGACAGGGAGCTCCAGGGAGCTTTCATATAAGTTGAGACATGCAGTGTCTATTCACATCCTCCCCATCTTTGGAGGCAGCCCAATGGAGTAACAGGGCTGTTCAGCTATACCCCAAATGCCACTGCTCAGGCCATAAGCAAAAGCTTTGGAAAAGGGTTGTTGATTCTGCAGAATCAAGGCAGCTTACCAGCTCTTTGAAGAAGGCAGCCTCTTTATGCTGCTCTGAGTAGCGCTCATACTGGTCCAGTCCGTCCTGCAGTTTCAGGGTCAGCGTGTCGTAGTTGGACCGTACCACTTCCAAAACCTGTCAGAGACAGCCAAATACAGCAGAGGAGTCAGCATCCACAGATGCCTCAGCATAGGAAGAGCAAGGCTGAGATAGATCACAGCTCTGGCACCTGTTTTTGCAACACACATGGCTTTAACAGCCAATATTTGGCTCATGACTAACAACACAGAGGTGGGCACTAAAGTCTTCCCAATGCCAGTAAGGAACGGCCCTCAAATTTACAGAATTT